TCTTGGGTGGGTTTGTCTAACTCATGAGCCTAAAGAACAATACCTATGGAGGGTGGGGTGGGGGGGTGGGGGTTGGTATTTTGGTGTGTTTTGGTTTTGTGGTTTTTTTTATAAAGAAGTTCTGAAATTGGTAAAAATAAAGCTTTTTGTCAAGGATCCACTTCGGAGTTTTCTTCCAAAGCTGGTGCCGTTTCCTTGACTGACTTTGGCAGGAAGTCTTTGTGTATTTACTTACAGGTAGTCATGTTATACACCTTTCTAGCACGAGGTTAAAATGTCTAACTTTTCCCCCTGGAACTCAAGGAGGAAAGAGAGAGGGCTCTCTTGAAGGAGGCAAATAGTGCTCAAGCAAGGTGATTTTTTTTTTTGCGGGGGGGTTGTGGATTTCTTTTATGAGGTGGGCTGGTTTGGGCTTTTTCCTTTTAGAAAACCTGAAAGCGACTAATGGGAGGGGAGCTGGCTTATATAAGCTTCAAATTCAAGATTGGAATTTGATGAAGGGCTGTCTGGAAACTATGAATGCAGACTTCAGCCAGGTACTGCGTGTACCAGAACTGATGACAATTCTGCATGTGTTGCAACAACTAAAATACATGAAGGTATTTAATCTGAGGTCTTTCATGACTTCAGACAGACTTTGATTAAATGGCTTCAAATTTATACGTGCAGAAACTTCTTAAGTATACATTTTAAGCATTAAGGTAGCTGGTGTAAATTCTTCTTTGACATCATCTTAAAATGACTGGCTTGTATAAATAGGTCATGTTAAAATCTGATTAACAGTTGAGCGCAGGGTTCTAGTGGGGGTTTTTTGGAGGAGATTTGCTTTAGACCAACAACATTCCAGATCTTCAGAGCTGAGCATCCACTTTGAGATGTGTCAAGGCAGCATAACATATGTGGCTTCCACTGAAGGTTGAGCGAGGAATAAACCTTGATGCAGCACTGCTTTGGTTTACTGTGTGCAATTGCTATAGCTACAAAATTTCTATTCTTTTAAAAAAAAAAAATTAACTTAAATGCTACTTAATGTTTAAAACCACCAGGGAATAGGGACCAACAATTGCTTCCAAATAATCCTCTGGGGCCACTACCTACAGCAGGTAACTAGATGAACACAGGTTTTTAGGTTTTGGTTGGATTTTTAACTTACTTGCTATCATCATAGGATTAGCTGTGGTTTTGATCCATGTTCTAGGTTTGTGGCTCTGATGTGTTCCCAATAATTCTTATTCCCAACATAAATCTATTGTTGTAACGATGTAATTAATGTACTGCATTTAAAGATTAATTTTTGAGACACTAAATTATTAAATTATCTATTTGCCTCCTTTTAAGGGAACAAATCGGATTCACTGGATAAGCGCCAAGTCCTGTTTGAAGATGCCTGCACGCTAGCAGAGAAGCACGGGCTCTTGGCTGTCCTGGAGACATCGGCAAAAGAAGCTCAGAACATAGAAGAGGTGTTCGTGTTAATGGCTAAGGAGCTAATAGCCCGAAACACCTTACAACTTCACGGAGAAAACCCTCCAAACAGCATCTATCTTGATTCCAGGCCAGTGATTGCCAGCCCAAGTGTGGAGAAGACCCAGTGCCTCTGCTGAAGAGAAATTTCAGGAAGAACTTGGAAGCTGTCATTCTTCTGAGGCTGTTTAACGTTATTCAGTTGATGAAAGTGTGCTAGGTGGTCTCAAGCCACCTCTTGATATCTCTGCCTTGCAGTTTGGCTTGTAAGTACCTTCTGAGATCGTTGTTGCTGTTGGTAGCACAGGTTGCTTTGAACATGGCAGCTGATACTTTCACACAAACTTCTGAGCTGAGAGGACTCGGGAAGCTGCCAGCCCTTGCCTTAACCAAAGAGAACTGTAAAAATTATTGCCTTATAATTATATCCTTTAAACGATTTTCTGGCTGTGTCAGAAGATAAGTTTGCACCAGAGCTCTGCACTGATTTGACTCTTCTAAGCTATGTTGTTTGTTATAGAGCGAGCACTTAACTCTTTGCCAGTAGGTTTATGAAGTCTGACACATGCTTGGACAGTGCTAACCCACTGCTGCTTCATCTTTCATTTAAGGGCAGTCCTGACGTCAGGCATGTAGCCACCCATCCCGAGGAACTTGCTAACATTTGTGAAAGACTACTTGATTTCAGGTCTGTACTGGCTTCCTCACCAGACAAACCTGGAGACACCCCTGGGGTTCCATAGCAGGCAGAACAGGATACACGATGGTCCCAACCTTCTTCCTGGGGTGGGAAAAGTTGTCTTTCACTTCACTCTCTAATTACAAGAATTGTTTCCAGTATTGACCTCTGTCTTGCTACATACGACTTGTAGTGAAGCTTCCAAGGCACCAGTAATGGCCTAAATCCATGCTGGGGTGAAAGGACTTCCCACTCCCCAACCTGATGTTTTGATGTGCTGATTGTAATCACAAGCCTTCTGTAGTTTGTGTGAGCAGCTTGAGAGTATGCCTGTAGGCTTTCAAGGGGGTGTGACAGGATTCAAGCTCCTGTAAAACACAGCAAGGGGTAAGGGGGTTTAATTCTGTAACTTGCCCTACAGCAGCAAGGGAAAAGGTATGGGGCACAGCAGAAAGCTGCCCCTTGACAAGTGTATATGCTACTGCTAGGGAGACTGAGCATCTTGGTAGCGACAGAGGGCTTTGTCTCGCTCCTCCCAAATGCAAGCTCTGCTATTGGGGGCTCACTTCTGTGTACCAGAACTGAATGAAGGGTTTGGGGGGGTTGGTTTTGTTTTGTGTTGTTCTGTTTTTTTTTTTCCCAGTAGATAGAAACAGGGCAGGAAAGAATTATACAGAGGAAGTTTGACTGCAGTCCACCTGTACCAAAGTGCAGTACTTACTGTTAAGTTACAAACTGGAACGCAAACTCTGTAATGATACAATAGCACGTGGGCTACACGCAAAGAAGCCCAGCTAAGGCTGGTACGCTGGTAGCTTACCAGGTGGCAGCAGACCTATGTTTCACAAGTTCTTGAAATATAGGGGAAAACATGTAGCAAATGGTTCTGGAAAATGTAGTTTGAGGAAAAAAAAATAAAGCCCAATGAATCACTGATTTATAGTCTTGAAATGTTTCTAGTATTAGTAAAGCTTCCTCTGGCCAGATTCTTTGCTATCACATGAGAAGAGCAGTGGTTAATTCAGCTATGTGTAAACTGAGGGGAGAAGTCTTCAGTGTTAGCCTCTAAGCCTTTTCCTACTGCCTGCTGTGGAGAACACTTCATCATCTTCAAGCATTCCCTTTCTGATCTTTACTTCTTAAATCTTAATTTCATCTTCAATTGATACTAGCCTAGTAGGTGCATTTCAGTTTGTGTATTTAAGCAACAGTAAACACTACCACCTTTCAAAGCAGCTGAACAAGTAGCAATCCAGCTTCCAAGCAACTAGTTTCTATACCTCATCACTAGGAAAAGAGTCAAATACAAGTTTAATATTCTTCTGTGTTCAAATTCCGAATTACTCCTGCTAGCGGTTTGTAATGTAGCAGGTTTTACCTTTTTTCTAGTATCCACACTTAAAACTGCTAGCAAGCTTTGTTTTTCAGATATACCAGAGACAGTATTTGCAGCAAATATCTTCTTCCAGGAGACCTTAATAGAACAGTATTGTGTTCATCTCCAGGGGCCCTCTGGTCCTGCTTGAGCAGCTCCATGTCTGTCTTGTGCTGGGGGCCCCACAGCTGGGCACAGCTCTGCAGGTGGGGTCTTCCCAGAGCAGAGGGGGAGAATCCCCTCCCTCAACCTGCTGGCCCCACTTCTCTTGATGCAGCCCAGGATATGGTTGGCTTTCTGGGCTGTGAGCACACATTGTTGGCTCATGTTCAGTTTTGCATCCACCAGCACCCCCAAGTTCTTCTCCGCAGGGCTGCTCCTGATCCACTCGTTGCCCAGCCTGTATCTGTGCTTGGGATTGCCCCAACCCATGTGCAGGACCTTGCACTTGGCCTTGTTAAACTTTATGAGGTTGGCCTGGGCCCACCTCTCCAGCCTGTCCAGGTCCCTCTGGGTGGCCTCCCTTCCCTCCAGCGTGTTGACCACACACAGAGCCTGGTGTTGTCAGCAAACTCGCTGAGGGTGCACTCAATGTCACTGATAAAGATGTTGAACAGTGCTGGTCCCAATACTGACCCCTGAGGAACACCACTCCATCACTGATCTCCACTCAGACACCAAGCTGTTGACCACGACACTTTTGAGTGCAACCATCCAGCCAACTCTCAACTCTTAATTTAAAACACTGTGACACCTCCCAGAAGCTGACTGGCTTAAAAGCAAACATAACTGCAACCCAGTGATGTGGAAGGCACATGGCACTGCCTATGTGGTCAAATTTTTTTCTTCATACAATGAGGGACAGGCTCTTAGTAACAAAAGCTGAGGTTCTCATCTAATCATTCCTGTTAATGTTTAAGTAGAGCTGGAAAGGAGACAGCCATTTGCAGGCCCTGAAAGGAGATGGAGAGCTCTATCCTGGAGCCTTCTTTCAGGAAGGAGATGCACGCCTGTGCTTTTGGACAGGGAACTGACCCTGAAGCTTCCCACAGCCAGGTGAGTGCTCCAACCACAGCACTGTTTAGAGGTGCCCCTTCCCAGCTGCGGGCTGCCAATAGGCAGATTTATACAAGTCTCAGTTCCCAGAACACAGCACCTGGCTGCAGGCAGGGGGGCTGCAATACTCGTTGCTCACCGTACTGACTCCTGAAGCCAGTTTCAAGCACCTCTCTCAAGCAAGTGTGCTAAGGACTGGAACTACGACAGGCAATGCTGGGACAGCAGAATCCTCTGAGAGTAGTTTTAGACAGGCTAAGAGCTCCTTTTACCTAAGAGTACTTCAACTTTTAATAGGAACTTGCAGTTTGAGAGAGGTCAGACTTTTAAAAGTCTTTTAAAACACTTTTTCTAGAGCTGTTATTCTAAAATCAACCCTAACTCAGCCGCCTGCACAGGCTCTGTCTATGCAATCACATCAAGCTGTTGCCAAACACGTGTCAACTCTGGCTTGACTGCAACTGACAAACAGCCCCAAGGACAACAGCAGCAAGCAGGGTGGAAGTTCAGCATATTTGCAGTCCCCTATTTCCTTGCCACAGCTGCACCCATGAACATCACTGCTTATTAGTTTTCACTACCACGTCCGTCTAGTTTTGCTTACCTGAAGCGACACTCACAACTACCGTTTAGCAACGCCTCTCTAACGCTAGCACCAGCCTAAAACTGACTTTGGCAGCAGCCCGACTCCTACAGCACAGTCACTGTATTGTGCCTCAGTCTTAAGGGACTACATGCAGTTTTCCTCTTGTTTTAAGCTGCTGCAGCATGAAGCACCTACACAAGTCCAGTTCCAGTCAGCAGACACCCCACGCCTCACCCTATCCTCCAAACAAATTTATCTTGTACCTGCTGTGGCAGTGGAGAGTTACTTCGTATTTCACTAAATGAACCGCCCCCCCCCCTCAGCAAGACCACAGTAGCCTTGGGCTACAATCGGGAAAGAGCTGTGCTACCACAACTTGAACTAAAGCAGCAAAGGTTGCAAGAAGTGCTCTTCGCTTGTATGATCATGTTCAGACCCATTAGAATGGGCAGCAGACACTTATTTCACACTTACCATGAGATGCAAAATTTTTTATATCAAACTATGTGTGTATACATATATTCTTGCACAGGGAGTAAAGGCAAGGCACTTCAGGTGAGAGCATGCATCTTTTTCTGAAGATTTTTGTCTGGCCTCTACAGTTTCTGTACCATAGGTATTTGCTTAAAAAAAAATAGCGTAGCACAGCCTAAATCGTTACACTCTGAATTTTTTTAATATTAAAAGTTTGCCTTAATTCTACTGAATTTATTCCTGTGCTTACAAAGGAAAAACACAGCAGCCTACTAACATACTTCACTAATTTCAAAGGGCCTACTCTTTTCAGTTTGGGGTGTGGGGGGGTGGAAATCAGCACAACAGCAAGCTTAGAAAGAGGCCTACCACCAGCAAGATTCAACTGGCAGTGACACACAGCAGCACCACCTGACGACACACACACACAGTTCTTTACCTTACAGAACGAGAAGCACAGGACCCTTCAAAGCAAGAGACCAACAGAAACCACTCATCATGATGCACTTGACTACATCGGCCACCTTGCAGCTAGACAGGACAGACTCCACCAAAGCAAATCACCTATTTGCATATTCTCAGCTTCCCCTAACATGCGCAGAAACACGGCTTGGGTGCAGCAGCACCCACCATGCTGCCAAACACACACCCACACAAGAAATAAAGCATGCCGTTTCTGACCCCTTATGAAGCAAAGCTGATGCATGTGCTGTGGCTGGTAAATTTATCACCTTTTTCCATCTTGCCAGAACACACCTTTGTTAAACTTACATTTGAATGCAGCTTTCCAACAGCATGTTAACAACTTAAGTTCACTACGTAGGGGAGGCAAGGCTAGCTCTACTTCAAAGCCTTTCATTTTTTCCCGTTTCTCCCTGTATCAGTTTTAAACATCATTTGTGCAAATGACATTCAAATAATTTTCTGCCTCTACTACTTGCCTCTGGAAAAAAAAAAAACAAACCAAGGACTGTTTTAGACTGTTCAGTTAAGCTTTTCTTGGTCATATCCCTCCACATCCAAGTATGTTTCTAGCAGTTTACTTCCAACTTTATGTATTACCACCGAAGAGTGCTTCTTTCTGAACACACATAGGCTTAAAGAAGCACGTGGATTCTCAGGAAATGGCCCGTACCAGTGCTTGGACTTGCGGTCCAAACAGCATTACAACAGGAAACTATCAACAGAATACGTACTGCAATTGACTGTTCGGACAAATACAACTTACACCATAGCGCAGAACCCACTTCTGAGAAAGCAAGCCACGTCTGTTCCCACCAACGGCCCCACATATTCGTTCCACAGTT